GAATACAGTAGGCCAGGCCCGGTGGCTCGCAGCTGTAATCCCAGCACTTTGGGAGGTTGAGGAGGGCAGATCACCTGAGGTCAAGAGTTTGAGACTAGCCTGGTGAACATAGTGAAATTCCATCTCTACAAAAAAATACAAAAATTAGTCAGGCGTGGTAGCACACACCTGTCGTCTCAGCTACTCAGGAAACTGAGGCAGGAGAATTTCTTGAACACCAGAGGTAGAGGTTGCAGTGAACTGAGATCGTGCCACTGCACTCCGACCTGAGTGACAGAGTGAGACTCCATCTCAAAAAAAATAATAATAATAAAGAATACAATGACTATTGGGTTTCAGTGCCTTGCCAGTTACTGTATCCACCAGTGTTGCTTTTGCATAGCTAGCACAAATGTTAACACAAGTTGTTCCAGAATGGACTGAGAGACAAAAAAAATAAAAATAAAAGGATTCACCACTGTGTTTGTTACCATGCATTCACAGTAACAAAAATCTCTGATGATTAGTTGGTGCTGATATCAAATAAATACATGCAGGCAAAATACCAAGTCCGGTCACATTAATAAGGCAGAAGTACAATTCTACATACCAGATATTACTTCTTTTTTTATGTTTGCAGATAAAGCTTCCATTCAGTGATTCACCTTATCATTGGAAAGTGGGAGGGTGTGTTGATTTTATTGACTTTTTTTGTTTTTTTTTTTGAGACGGAGTTTCGCTCTTGTTACCCAGGCTGGAGTGCAATGGCGCGATCTCGGCTCACCGCAACCTCCGCCTCCTGGGTTCAGGCAATTCTCCTGCCTCAGCCTCCTGAGTAGCTGGGATTACAGGCACGCGCCACCATGCCCAGCTGATTTTTTGTATTTTTAGTAGAGACGGGGTTTCACCGTGTTGACCAGGGTGGTCTCAATCTCTTGACCTCCTGATCCACCCGCCTCAGCCTCCCAAAGTGCTGGGATTACAGGCGTGAGCCACCACGCCCGGCGATTTTATTGACTTTTTATCCAGCAGACTTTCAGCACTATCTACTATGCAAAGATTTATCTCTGATATTATGTATCCTTTTCAATCAACGCAGTGTGATAACTTACTCTTTAAGATCCTTTAGAGACTTTTCCATTTTTAGTTTGAAAACCTGTAACGATTTTTTGCTTTTAAAGAATTCATTAAGTGTATATTTAAAATATTAAATTTCTTTTTTTAAAAAAACTGAATGATTATTCTCAAATGACAGTATACTAAATTGTCACCATTTAAATGTCTTCCATCTATTTATGTTCTGTTACATCAGATGTAATAAGACAACCTTATGCAGCCAAAGGGAAGATATCTCATTTTTTTTTTTTTTTTTTTTGAGGTTCACTAAATTTATTTAAAAAATCATAAAACATTTCTTACAAAAGAGCATTACATTCTGCACACTGCTCTGAACAGATGCCAGGGACATGTGGACTATTGTTATTTTTCCTCCCTGTCCCTCACCCCAAATGTTACAGTGACCACAAAGCAAGGTGTTCACAATAATTACATGGGGGGAATTTTTTTTTTAACCACCAACAATAACAAAATAGAAAATCCACTGACTCTGCTGCTGTTTCAAAATTTAAATTAGTTTTTGCATGCCCTTCCCCCCCCAACCCTGTTTGTAAGGAACTAAAACATTACATCTGGTGAACAGCAAAGATTTCACTACACCTCAAATGCAGACCACCTATGAAGCAGAGGAATGTTGGCTTTTTAAACAAGCAGATAAAAAAAAAAAAAAAAAAGATGCAGGACTCCTTCAGTTCTTCACTAGTCTTAGAAAAACTTTCCAGAATACTGCTTCACACTGGCAGTAGCTGATGGTCGGCTTTCAGAAGGCACAGGTGGTCAGCACCTGCTGGAGGGTGGCAATCCTGAGCTCATTCTGGAAGGCAGGGTGCTCAGGAATGGAACAGTGTAGGTCTCGCTTGATCTCCTCCATGGTGAGGCTGTAATTCCCAGTGGACTTCTCCACCAGCTCAGTGTAGTAGCCAGGGTAAGTCTCCATCTCATTCCAGGCCCCTGGTGAGACACGGCTACCAGCCGTCTCTCTCCTTCTGGTACTCAGAGAAGAGGAGCCACAGCTCTCCCGGAGGCTCTCAGGGATGCTCTTCAGGACCAGTCCTCATGTCTTGGCTGTGCGGTACATGCACACATGGCACCCATACTCGAAGAAGTGGATGCGCCATGATTCCTCTTTCATCTTCTCTTTAGCCTTAATGTGGAGACACACCCCTGTCCACTCGCAGGACCAAGCTTCTTGGGCTGCACAGAGGGCTTTTGTGTCAGCTTGCTGAGAATGATGGTTTCCAGGTTCATCCATGTCCCTAAAAAGGACACGAACTCATCGTCTTTGATGGCTTTTGAATGGGCTTGTTTGTTTTTCTCTTGTAAATCTGTTTTAGTTATTTGTAAATTCTGGATATCAGCCCTTTCTCAGATGGGTAGACTGCAAAAATTTTTTCCCATTCTGTTGGTTGCCGATTCACTCTAATGACTGTTTCTTTTGTCTTGCAGAAGCTGAGAAGTTTGATTAGGTCCCATTTGTCTATTTTGGCTTTTGTCACCAATGCTTTTGTTGTTTTGGTCATGAACTCCTTGTCTACACCTATGTCCTGAATGGTTTTGCCTAGATGTTCTTCTAGGGTTTTTATGGTGTTAGGTCTTACGTTTCAGACTTTAATCCATCTGGAGTTAATTTTAGTGAAAAGTGTCAGGAAGGAATCCAGTTTCTGCTTTCTGCACATGGCTAGCCAGGTTTCCCAACACCATTTACTAAACAGGGAATCCTTTCCCCATTGCTTTTGTCAGGTTTGGCAAAGATCAGATGGTTGTAGATATGTTGTGTTGCCTCGGGAAGATATCTTTATCATGTTTTCATGTTTTTTTGTTTGTTTGTT